GCAGAGACGACGGTGACGGCGGAGCGAATAACAGTCGCGGCGGTGCAGTGCCACCAGTACCAGTAGCTCCAGCGCCTCCAGCAGCTCCAGAACCTCCAGCTCCAGCGCCTCCAGCAGCTCTAGAACCTCCAGCAGCAGCACCTCCAGCTCCTGTGCCTCCAGCAGCAGCACCTCCAGCTCCAGTGCCTCCAGCAGCAGCACCTCCAGCTCCAGCGCCTCCAGCAGCAGCACCTCCAGCTCCAGTGCCTCCAGCAGCAGCACCTCCAGCTCCAGCGCCTCCAGCAGCTCCAGAAAATCCAGCTCCAGCGCCTCCAGCAGCAGCACCTCCAGCTCCGGCGCCACCAGTAGCAGCACCCCCAGAACCGGCACCTCCAGCCCCAGGGTCCCCAACTCCAGGGTCGACAGCACCAGCTCCAGGGCCTCCAGCCCCAGTACCTCCTGCAGCAGCACCCCCAGAGCCGACACCTCCAGCTCCAGGAGCAGTACCAGTCCCGGCAGCTCCAGTACTGGAGGTACTGGACCAGAGACACCAGCACTCCCAGCGCCTCCACGACAAGCAGCTCCAGCAGCACGACTCCTCAGGCGGGTACGCGACGCAAGCCACTCTCGTGCCTGCTGTGGTGAGACAGGCCCGCGTCGTGAAACGAGACCCAGAGGAACGCCAGCAGACTCAGCACCCCCCGACCCGGCACCCTCCGGGTCAGCACCCCCAGGCTCCGCACTCGTAGGCTCAGCACCCCCAGGCTCCGCACTCCCCAGTACCTCACATGCAGGCTCAGCACCCCCAGACGCAGCACCCCCAGCAGCACCTCCCGCAGCAGCACCTGAGTCGCTAGTGACCTCTACAGGCTCAGCCAGGGGGGGCGGGTCTACCTGAGACACACCTGAAGGGGCAGGACCGTGAGGGGGGAGGGGGTCTACCTGAGGGGGACCTGGAGCGAGGAAAAGCGGCGGAGGAGGGAGAGGGGCAGAGCGGTAGGGGAAGAGACGGTAGAAAGGAACCGACTCGTCAAAGGTGACGTCCTGAGAGGGGAAGACACGGCGCGAGGTGGGGTGGTAAAACTGCCAGCCAGGCGCGTCAGGGACAAAGCCAAGGAAGTCACAGGGAATGGTGCGGGAGGAGAGCTTGTCCGCGGACGTATCGCGGACAAGGGCACGAGCACCCCAGACCCGGAAACGCGACGCATCGCCAACCTCCCCCGTCCAACGCAGTGTGGGCAAGGTCTCCGGCAAGGAGACACGGCTCCAGAGGTTGAGCTGCTGCGCGGCGTACCGGACCGCAAACGGCCACAGAAAATGGGGAGCCGCCGCATGGATCAAGGAGGTACGAGCGACCTCCATGACCAAGCCAATGCGGCGCTCAGCAACCCCATTTTGCTGCGGTGAGCCCGGAAGCGTGAACGACTGCTCGATGCCCTCCCCCTGACAGAAGGCCCGCAAGAGGTCGGAGGTGAACTCACCACCTCTGTCAGAGTGCAGACGCAGGACAGGCAGGTCCTGGCGGAACCTGCGGCGGAGGTGGAGACGAACTGCTCGGATCCAAGGGATCAAGACAGCAGGGACCTCACCCTTGGTGCGCAAGGGGAAGACCGTGGTGTAACGCGAGTAGTCGTCGACAACCAGCAGAAAGTACCACTCACCGCCCTGTCCACGAACGCGGGCTGGGCCCCACACGTCCAGGTGGAGGGTCTGCAGAGGAGCCTCTGTCGGGGGAAACGAGGAGGAGTGAGGAGCGGCGCGCTGCCGCCCCTCGACGCAAGGAAGGCAGGGCGGCGCAGGCGAGGCAGGGAGGGGAGGGAGAGACCTGGGAAGACCAGACACAAGGAGACGACGGTGCATGCCACGGAGACGTGGCAAGGAGGGGTGACCCAGGCGGTGGTGCCAGAGAAGAGTCTGGTGCGACAGGGAGCGACACTCACAGGGGGAGGCTACCTAACCTGACGCAGACACCTGACCAGTAGCAGCTACCTGAGGAGGCGCATTCGTCAGTGTGTAAAGACTCGACCCTGGCCTACGGGTAAACGTGGCCAGGTGGCGGCCGGTCTGGGAGCACGTACAGATCGCCACACGCTGCCGACCAGGGGTGAAGGTGTCAACCCCCGCATCCTGGAGGACAGCAGTGATCACCAAGTTCGTAGAGAACGAGGGGAGGTGGAGACCTGACAGTGAGCCAGACGGAACCGCCGGGCACGGGAGCACAGTGGTGGATCGTGCAAGAACTGGGCCCCCTAAGGGGTCAGCCAGAGAGACTGCAACAGGTGCAGGGAGTGGTGTGAGTGCAGTACTGTCACGAAAGAAGCAGCGGGAAGCACCTGAGTCAAGCGTGAAGGTGTGCAAGACCTCAGTAGGCGCAGTACATGAGAGAGCAGACTCGCTCGCACCTAAGGCAGCAGCCTCACCAGCACTTAGAGTACCAGTCTCTATACTGGGGTCAGGCGGCACACACAAGGAACAGTCACCATCAGCACTAATCTCCAATGCATACATGGCAGTAATAATAGCATCATAGTCAAGAGCAAAGATGTCTACACCAGCCCTAAGCAGCTCATACCAGCGAGGGCGCTCATAGTCCTCGCCCATCTCCTCACGCCAGGCGTCGTCAAGGCGGGAGAAGCAGCGGTGCTGGGTGTGGAACTTCCCGCATGTCCGACCCTTGTGGTCACCTGTGCGGATAACATACGGTCAGCGACCACCACCCCTAGACCTCCCACGCTGAGCAAGCCACTCACGAAGCTGTTGGGTCGTCTGGGGACTCTGCTGCTGCTGCTGCTGCTGCTGCCTCTGACATGCGCCCGTGCCTCCACCCCTACCGCCACCCCCACCGCCACTACCGCCCCGGCCGCCACCGCTGCTGCCACCGCCGCCGCCACCGCCGCTGCCACCCCCTCCGCCACCACCGCTTCCACCGCCGCTACCGACGCTACCACTCCCGCCAGCACTCCCGCCGCCACCCCCTCCGCCACCTCCTCCTCCTCCACCACCACCCCCCCCCCCCCCGGTGCCACCTCCGCTACTCTTGGCTCCCTTGCCCTTGCCGCTGCGGCGCCTCCCACTAGGAGCAGAAGCAGCACCAACAGACTCAGCACCAAGGTAGTCAACGGCAGCGGCAGTAGCGTAGGAGGGGGTAAGGGGAGAGGGAGAGCACCCCTCAAAGATGGGGGTGCGAGGAGCGCCACGAGCAGCACCTACAGCGACAATGCTCTTCTCTGCTGCAAGGAGGTGCTCCTCTAGGACGTCGACAGTGAGGTCGGTGGGACAGCGAGCGAGAAAGTGGTCCCTGACCGAGCTAAGAGAGTCAGGGAGACAGGTGACTATGAAGTGGAGGGTCCAGTACATCGGAGGTGGGTGCTTAGCACAGAACTCTTTGGAGAGGGCGGCGCGCAGGCGGGTGTCGCTAGTGCGAAGGTGGGTAATGAGATCGGCAACTGTGGCAAAGGTGGACAGCTCAGGAAACAGGTAGGGCAGCATGAGGCGGCTAAGCTCAGCTGTGGCAGGGGAGGAGTACCGAGCAACTACAGCGTCGTACAGGGTCTTAGCGGTCTTGTACTCGCCAAAATGCGTGAGCTCGGCTAACGGAAGGTGATTTCGAACGGCTAGGCGCGCAGCAGCATCACGGGTCTGCCACTGGGAACGGGCGCTAAGCTCAGCGGTGGCAGCAGGAGCGACTGAGGCACCAGACGTGTGGTCATAGAGAGAGACATTGTCCTTGCTATCGCTCATTAGGAACAGCTGCAGGTCATCTAGCCCAGTTTCAACTGAATCGGGCTGCAGGGGGCCGGCAGGAGCAGCTGCAGCAAGTAGCAGCAGCAGCAGCAAGGAGGAGCAGCTGCAGCAAGTAGGAGCACCAGCAGCAAGGAGGAGCAGCTGCAGCAAGTAGCAGCAGCAGCAGCAAGGAGGAGCAGCTGCAGCAAGTAGGAGCACCAGCAGCAAGGAGGAGCAGCTGCAGCAAGTAGTAGCAGCAGCAGCAGCAACTCTGGTGCAGCAGCGCGCTAGTAGTTCGCGGGCAGGGCGAGCAGCGCGCGGGCAGCAAATGCAGCGCGCAAGCAGCAGGGGCAGCGCGCAAGCAGCGGGCGCAGCGTGCGGGCTGCAGTGTAGGGCGTCGCGTGGGCTGTACGGGCCGCGCGCAGGCCTGGCGCGGGCTGTACGGGCTGCGCGTGGGCCTGGCGTGGGCTGTACGGGCTACACGAGGGCCTAGCGCGGACTGTACGGGCTGTGCGCGGGCTGTGACTAGGAAGAAAAAAAAAATGTCTCGCCTAGGGGACGGGACGCGCCTAGGGCAGAAAAATCGTCTCGTCTAGGGCGCGTTTCGGGTAGGATAAAAGACGAGATGCGCCTAGGGGCGCAACTCGGACAGCAGAGTGAAAATTGAACAGTGGGCCCCTTAAAAATCCGGTCCTAAGGACCATAACGCTCTTAATACCATGTTAGAGTAAGTAGCTAGGAATGATGAAACTATCGAGAGAGTTTGGTACAAGGGAAAACCCTAAGGGGTTGTACCTGTGAAGAAACTGAGTGGAAATTATTGACTAGGAAATGAGTTGGGTACAAATATGAAACCCTAGGAAACTGTACCCCATAGTGTCTACCCCACTACAGCCTAGAAAGACTATAGCAGAAATGTTTGACACACCCCCATAGGCAAAGTGGGGGAGAACAAGGGGTCACAAGACCAGTCAAGCAAGGCAAGCTCAGGGTGGATCACAACGTCACCACACATTCCGAGCACAAGTTCAAAGGCCACAAGGCCAGTTCACATGCAGGATGATAAGTCAAGGTGAACAAGCAAGACAGTGATCGCAACCTAGCAAGGTAAACAGGCAGGTGCAGGTATATATAGATCACAGTACAAAGCAAAGTCAAGAGGTAAGCAAGTGAGGCCAGGTAGGCACAAGACCTAACATAGTACTGAAGCGCTGATGATCACAAGGCTGAAGTGCCTTGGTAAAGATATCAGCAGTGTTGGCCGGAGAGGCCACGTAAGCAAGGCGCAGCTGACCACGCTACTGCAGCTCACGTGCAAGGAAGTAGCGAAGAGCAATGTGCTTCGTTCTGTGCTCCAGTCTGTGCTCCTGACACAAGGCCAGCATGGCCTTGTTGTCTACGTACAGAACTGGAGGAGAACGAGGCGGCTCTCCCAGGTCGGTCAGCAGGTAGGTGAGCCAGCGTAACTCCTGTGCAGCCATGGCCCCTGCGTAGATCTCAGCCTCACAGCTGGAGCTGAGAACAGAAGACGAGCGGGTAGACCGCCACGAAACAGAGCCGGAACCAAGGCTGAAGGTGTAACCCTGTGACGACCGCTGCGTAGCCAAGTCGTCAGCCCAAGAAGCGTCTGCGTGACCAGTGAGGACCACTGGACCTCGCCCTCCAAGCACGAGCCCCATGCCCGACGTACTGCACAAGTAGCGCAACACCCTCTTAGCAGCATCCATGTGCTCCTTCCTGTGTCGGCCAGGAGCGACATAGCGTGCTAGGATGCTAAGAGGGTAGGCTAGGTCAGGTCGAGTGCAGGTCATCAGGTACATGGGGCAGCCCACAAGCTCTGGATACGGGCCACTCGGCTCTACCGACTCATCCGAAGGCAGAGCTGAGAGCGAGTGGCGAGTAGGCAGAGGAGTGGACTGTGGCGAGGAGTACGTGAAGCGGAAGCGCTGAAGGACCTGCTGCACCATGTGTGACTGAGTCAAGGTAATGGTGCGCTGTGCTCTGTCCCGGGTGATCCGCAAGCCAAGATAGCTTGTCAGCTCACCCAGGTCTGTGCACGTGTGTCTCTTCTGCAGTTCCGACTTCACGTGGGCAAGTGCCTCAGTGTCAGCAGTGGCAAAGACCAAGTCGTCTACGTACACGAGAACGTAGAACGGCGGCAGAGTGGTGTCGGTGCGTAGAAACAGCGACGGGTCAGCAGTAGAAGGAGCAAACCCAAGAGCAGCAAGAGTCGTCCTCAGTGTGTCGTGCCACTCACGGGGTGCCTGGCGGAGACCGTAGACTGGCCGCCGGAGGCTCCACTGGGTACCACGAGAAAACGACCCAGTGAAGCCAGGTGGGCGGCGCAGCCAGATCTCCTCGTGCAGGCTGCCCTGTAGGAAAGCAGTGCTGAGGTCAAGAGAGTGGAGCTCGTAGTCACGCTGAGCGGCGACGTGCAGCAGAACCCGAAGAGTGGTCATCTTCGGGGTAGGGGAGAAGGTCTGGAAGAAGTTAACTCCCTCACGCTGACTGAAGCCTCGTGCAACGTAACGCGCCTTGAAGACAGGCGGAGAACCCGGCGGCCGCTTCACCCTGAAAATCCACATGCCACTGACGATGTTCGCCCCAGGTGGGGGAACCTCGTCGACGTAGGTGCCTGTAGACTTCCAGGAAGCCATCTCTGCGTCCATGGCTGACTGCCACTGAGAGGAGTAGGGACCCTCTATCGCCTCTGCGTAAGAGCGCAGGGTTGGGATGTCTGGTGCATCCGGGTCTCCCTCAGGGGCAATCAGCATGGACACGAGATGAGGTAAAGCAGCGGCAAAGCACTCAAACTCCTCCTGTCTGTCCTCAAGGACGTCCGTGCCAAGAGTACACTCACCCCCGACGGACGGAGGACAGACAGACTCAGACTCAGCAACAAGGCTAGCGGCGTAGTCTAGACGACAGACGGCAGCAAAGTCAACAAGCTCAGGAACTAGAGCAGACGCAGCAGTGGACTCAAAGGAAGGGTCAGTGACAACAGTGGCTAGGAAACGCATGACAGTAGGACTGGCAGCACAAAGGGAGTCAGACTCCGGGTCCGGACTGTCAGGAAGAGAGGACACAGGAGGAGACGGCAGAGGGACACGCTGTGGAGCAGTGGAAGGACGCAGAGTCATATAGTTAGTGCCAGGGACAGGAGGAGGACGCTCACGCGGAACACGACGACCAGTGCGGACAGCGCGGACAGGCGACTCTGGACGAGACTCAGGCGACGCAGGACGAGACTCAGGCTCACGACGCTCCGTAAGACCTCTAGTCGGTCCAGCGTAAGGAGAAGGACCAGGCAGGGCGAGGCTGGCTGTAACTGTGACTGCGACTGGACAGGCAGTGGACTCAGTAGGGGAGGAGTAGGACCAGTAGAGGGCGGGAGGCCAAGAACCTGCTGAAGGAGCGGAACGTAGTACGGCCGCGGCCGCGCAGCACCTCCTGAACCAGCAGAGATAGCACCAGCACCCTCAGCTCCAGGGTCTCCAGCTACAACTCTTGCAGCACCACCAGCAGCTCCAGCAGCTCCAGCACCTCCAGCTCCAACTCCCGCAGCAGCTCCAGTCCCAGTAGCTCCAGTACCTCCAGTACGAGCACCTCCAGGACCAGCGGCTCCAGCAGCTCCAGCACCAGCAGCACCTCCAGCAGCTCCAGCACCAGCAGCACCTCCAGCAGCTCCAGCACCAGCAGCACCTCCAGCAGCTCCAGCACCAGCAGTACCTCCAGCAGCTCCAGCACCAGCAGCACCTCCAGCAGCTCCAGCACCAGCAGCACCTCCAGCAGCACCACCAGCAGCTCCAGTACCAGCAGCACCTCCAGCAGCTCCAGCACCAGCAGCACCTCCAGCAGCTCCAGCACCAGCAGCACCTCCAGCAGTAGCCCCCCCAGCTCCAGCAGCACGGCTACAGCGCCGAGCGTACCACTCACGAAGCTGCCGTGGAGAGAGGGGCTCCTGCCGCGACGGGACACTCGGAGGACCTCCAGTCTCAGCACCCCCAGACTCAGCAACCCCAGGCTCAGCATCCCCAGGCTCAGCACCCCCAGGCTCAGCACCCTCAGGCTCAGCACCCCTAGCAGCACCAGAGTCAACAGCTACCTCAACAGGCTCGACTGCGTCTACCTGAGACACACCTGAGGGGGCAGGACCCTGAGGGGGAAGGGGGTCTACCGGAGGAGTACCTGGCACGAGGAAGAGCGGCGGAGGGGGGAGGGGGGCAGTGCGGTAGGGGAAGAGACGGTAGTAAGGAACCGACTCGTCAAACGTGATGTCCTGAGAGGACAGAACACGGCGCGAGGTGGGGTGGTAAAACTGCCAACCAGCCGCGTTAGGGGGGAAGCCAAGGAAGACGCAGGGAACGGCACGGGAGGACAGCTTGTCCGCAGACAAGTCGCGGACGAAAGCTCGAGATCTCCTCACACGGAACGCAGACGCATCGCCAACCTTCCCCGTCCACCGCAGAGTGGGGGTGGTCTCCGGCATGGAGACCCGGGGCTGGAGGTTGATCTGATGCGCCGCGTACTGAACCGCGAACGGCCACAGAAAATGGGGAGCAGCCGCATGGATCATGGATGTACGAGCGACATCCATGACCATGCCAATGCGGCGCTCAGCAATCCCATTTTGCTGTGGAGAGGCCGGAAGCGTGAACGTCTGGCGGATGCCCTCCGCCCGACAGAAGGCTCGCAGAAGGTCGGAGGAAAACTCTCCACCTCTGTCTGAGTGCAGACGCACAACAGGAAAGTCCGAGCCGAAACTCTCTCTGAGCTGGAGACGAGCAGCGCGGATCCAGTCGATCAACACCTCAGTGACCTCACCCTTGCGGCGCAAGGGGAAGACCGTGGTGTAACGCGAGTAGTCGTCAACAACCAGCAGGAAGTAACGCTCGTGACCCTGTCCACGGACGCGGGCTGGGCTCCACACGTCCATGTGAAGAGTCTGCAGTGGAGCCTCTGTCGGAGGAAACTCGGAGGAGTGAGGAGCGGCGCGCTGCCGGCCCTCGACGCAGGGAATGCAGGTGGGGGCAGGCCCCGGAGGAAGGGGAGGGAGGGACCGAGGGAGACCAGAGACAAGGACACGGGAGGCCATACCTCGGAGACGAGGCAGGGAGGGGTGACCAAGGCGGTGGTGCCAAAGGAGAGTCTCGTGAGACAGGAGGCGACACGAGCAGGGGGCAGACTCAGGGCCAGACCGGGACGCTGCAGCAAACACCTGACCCGACGCGGCTACCTGACCAGTCGCAGTGACAGGAGGAGACTCAGTGGTAAGGGTGTACAGGCTGGACCCTAGCCGACGGGTGAACGTGGCCAGGTGACGGCCCGTCCGAGCACCAGCACCCGCCACCAAGTTCGTAGAGAACGAGGGGAGGTGAAGACCAGACAGCGAGTCGGACGGAGCCGCAGGACACGGGAGAACAGTGGAGGAACGGGCCACAACTGGTCCCCCAGAGGGGTCAGCCAGAGAGACTGCCACCGGCCGACTGAGCGGCGAGAGTGTGGTGCAGTCGCGAAAGAAGGAGCGGGAAGCACCCGAGTCAAGGGTGAAAGTGTGCAAGACCTGAGTCGACGCGGTACCTGAGAGAGCAGCCTCACCAGCACCTGGAGCAGCAGACTCACTAGCACCTAGAGCAGCAGCCTCAATGCCCGGGTCGGGCGGAACACACAGGTAACAGTCACCCTCAGCACTAATAGACACAGCATACATAGCAGCAAGGATAGTGTCATAGTCAAGATCAAAGATAGCAACCCCTGACCTAAGCAGATCACCCCAGCGAGGGATCTCAGTGGAGCCAGGGAACTGTGCACGCCAGGCGTCAGTCAGGCGGCCGAAACAGCGTGGAGTGGTGTGCGGGCCGCCGCACGTCTCTCCACTGCGGTCGCCGGTGCGAAGAACGTAGGTGCAGGGACCAGCACCCCCAGACCTCCCACGCCCAGCGTACCACTCACGAAGCTGCTGAGGCGACGGGGTCTCACGGGAGCGCTGCTGCTGCTGGCGCTGGCCACCGCTCGAGCCTCCCCACTGCCCACCACCGCCACCGCTACCCCCACCTCCACCGCCGCCGCCGCCACCTCCACCCCCACTGCCGCTGCCTCCGCCGCCTCCACCTGCACCGCCGCCACCGAAGCCCCCACTCCCGCCACCACTCCCACCTCCAACCCCACCCCCTCCGCCTCCTCCACCGCCACCACCGCCGCCCCCTCCATCCCCTCCACCCCCCTTGCCCCCCTTGCCCTTGCCGTAGCGGCGCTTCCCACTAGGGGTAGACGCAGCGCCGACCGACTCGGTGCCAACGAGGTCAACAGCAGCAGCAGAGGCAACAGAGGGCAAAAGAGGGACGGGGGAGCACCCCTCAAAGAAAGGGGCAAGAGGGTCACCACGAGAGGCTCCTACAGCGACTATACCCTCCTCAGCTGCAAGGAGGCGCTCCTCGAGGAGGTCAACGGTGAGCGTGGTGGGGCAAAGGGAGAGGAAGTGGTCCCTGACCGAGCGAAGGGATTCAGGGAGCCGGGTGACGAGGTAGTAGAGAGTGATGTACATAGGGGGGGGGTTCGCGGCGCAGAACTCGGCAGGAAGCGCAGCGCGGTAGCGGGTGTCACTAGTGCGGAGGTGCGTAATGAGGTCAGCGACTGTGGCAAAAGCGGCTAGGTCAGGGAAAAGGTACGGTAGCATGAGGCGGCTAAGGGCAGCAGTGGCAGGGGAGGAGTAGCACGCAACAACAGCAGTGTACAGAGTGCTAGCAGTCTTGTACTGGCTAAAGTGTGCGCGCTCAGCAGGCGGCAGGTGACTACGGATAGCAAGACGGGCAGCAGCATCGCGCGTGGTCCACTGTGAGCGAACAGTACTGTCAGCATCGGCAGCAGGGGCAGCACGGGCGCCAGACGTGAGATCGAACAGGGAGATACCGTCCTTGCTGTCGCACTGCAGAAAAAGCTGCAGGTCATCGACCCAGACCTCAAAATCGACCGCGCGACCCTCAGCATCGAAGGTAAGCACATTGGGACTAGCCATGACAGCAGCAGCAGTAGGCTAGCAGCAGCAGTAGCAGCGCGACTCGGCTAAACGGCGCGGCTCGGCAGGGCGGCGCGGTTCGGCAGTGCGCTTACCAGGGGCGGGTGGGTAGGGAGGCCGCGACTGGTGGGGCAGGGCCGTGGGGCGCCGGCAGGATCGGGGCCGCGACGGGGCGGCAGGGCAGGGCCGCGGCTCGGCTGCAGGGCAGGGCCGGGGCGGCAGCAACGGCAGCGGCGGCGGCGGCTTGGCACACCGGTGGCTGCAGGGTCGGCGGCGGCAGCAGGGACGACAGCTGCGGCAGGGCACGCCCCGGCGGCTGCTGCAGTTGGGAGCCGCGACGAAGGGAGGGGCAGGGCGGGGCCGCAAAGAAGGGGCGGCAGAGCCGCGGAGGCCCGCGTCGGCTGGCGAGCTGGCCGCGCAGGGCCGCGACGACGGGTCGACGCCCGGGGTCGAGAAGGGCCGCGCCGAAGGTAGGGCGGGCGGCGTAGGGCCGCGACGGGCCGCGACAGGTGACGGGGCCGCGACGGGCGACGGGGCCGCGACAGGTGACCGGGCGGGGCCGTGAAGGGGGGCCGCGAAGGGCCGCAACGGGCGACGGGGCCGCGACAGGCGGCGGGCCGCGATAGGCGAAGGGGCGGGGCCGCGAAGGGGCCGCAAAAGGGCCGCGACGGGCCACAGTAGCAGGGCAGGCCGCTAAGGGGCCGCGAAAGGGTTAGAGGGCAGGGCCGCAACAGCGGCAGCAGGGCAGAGCGCGAAACGCGCTTCGGGCAAGGTAGGTAAAAAATTTCGATGGTGGGCCCTAGGAAGAAACGGTCCCACTAGGGAACCTGCTCTATACCATGTGAAGAAACTGAGTGGAAATGATTGACTAGGAAATGAGTTGGGTACAAATATGAAACCCTAGGAAACTGTACCCCATAATGTCTACCCTACTACAGCCTAGAAAGACTATAGCAGAAATGTTTGACAGTACCCTACATTGGCTACCCCACTACAGCCTACATAAACTAGCATAACATATATAGTTTGACAAATTCATCGCATTTTGAAATATATTACGCCCCGTTTGAGATAAATGAATGATTCTCGCCGTAACTTTGAAATATTGCGTTTGTTTTATTACCACGGACAAAATAATTTCCGAGCCCTTTCATATATATTTAATCTCGAACAAATAGTGTTTTAAATATTATCATAAATTTGGTAGCATGATTGCATAATTGCAAAGTGATGAAATTTTCCCGGAAAGGCGACGAAAGGTTTTAATTTTAAAAATTGTGTAATTATTGCAAGGTGGAATAATTGTACAGGGGGGAGAAAAATATACCATTCCCGAATGGTATGCTCTTTCGTAGCAAAAAACTATAAACACCTTGTCGCAAGAAGTTTGGGGTTGATGCTTTCAGGATCGCTTGCCATCCGAAAGTTGTTTATTGTTTTTGCCTAGTTGTACGATATTATTAGCCAAAATCAATGTTTCGAGCAAGTGCTGAAATATTCATCAGTTGATTACAAAGTGTTTCAATGGAGTTACTCGTGCGTAAATTTCCTGATCTTCGGGAAGTGTGTCAGAACTTGGTGCGTCACGATTCGTCAATAAAGTCTGGCACGAGTGGGAAAAACCAGAATCGGTGTTATTTTGGGCGAGGGTTTCATCTATTTACAATTCGCGTGATCGCTTGCCAGTGTATAGTCACCAAACACGTGAGCCGAGTTACCAAACGTGTGAAAATACAATGCAATGGTCACTGTACGCGTTATTGAGCCCCATAAATGTTACGAGTTGCATATCTTCCCGCAATACTATCTACCAAACAAATTTCAAATGCAACACGCCCTAAGCATTTAGCGAAGGAAAATTGTCGATAAAAATCAGCTAACGCCTTGGCGGTAGCTAAACCCCGCATTTGGCATCCACCATATGTCTCCCAATCAGCTGTGTCCATTCCTAGAGCAGGCGGCGCGAGGCGCCATGGATCTGCTGCCGTCGAGCGCGGACGAGTTCAGGTCGCGCGAGTACTGGGACAGGTTCTTCAGGAAGCGCCGCGGCAAGGCGTTCGAGTGGTACGGCGAGTGGCACGAGCTCAAGCCGCTGCTGCTGAGGCCCGAGTGCTGCGGCGCTGCTCACCGTGCCGGCGGCGACGCAAGCAATGCGCCGCCGCTGCAGATCCTGGTGGTGGGGTGCGGCAACTCGGAGCTGTCCGCGCAGCTGCACGACCACGTCGCGCTTCCCCACGCCCCCGGCGGGCGCGTGCCCGCTGTCATCACGAGCGTCGACTTCAGTACGGTCGTCATCGACGAGATGAAACGCAAGAATGACGCGGCGCGGCCGAACATGAAATGGCATGTCATGGACATGACCGCCACCACTGTACGTGCGCGGGGCAGCCCGCGCCGAGAAGCGGCGGGCGGGTCGTGAGATGAGCGTGGGTGAGAACGGGAGGCGCATGCAGGGGCCAGCAGGTGGACGGCGCAAGTGCCGTTGGCGTCGCGGAGTCCTAGGGTTTAGCGGGGGTATAGGGGAGTGTGAGAGGGCGGGGCAGGATGGTGGAGCAGGAGTGAGTTCGTGGTGGCGAGGACACGGGCAATTGTTGACCCTCCCTTTCATGTCCTCACTGCCGTGCTGCCCGTGTGTGCTAACCCCATGCCTGTAGTGCTGTCACGCGCTCGCACACACACCACAGCAGCGCCCGCACTCGCCCGTGCTGCTCCTTCCCTCCCCTGCCCCCAACCTCCCGCCCCACCTTGCCCTCCCCCCTTTTCATCCCCCTTCGTCCTCCACACCCCCAACCCCCCCCCCCCCCCCCAACTCGTCCCAATCTCCCCCCATCCGCCGCTCCCCTTGTCCCGTGCGCACTTGATCCGTGCGTGAGCAGTACGAGGGGGGCGCGTTCGACGCGGTGGTGGACAAGGGCGGGCTGGACGCGCTCATGGGCGAGGAGGGCGGGGACGCCTCCACGGCGGGCGCGCGCCTGCTGCACGAGGTGCAGCGCCTCGTCGCCCCGGGGGGCGGCCGCTACCTCTGCGTCACTCTCGCCCAGAGCCACGTGCTGTGTGCGCGCGGGGGAGGAAGGCGGGGAAACGAGAGGGGTTTTGGGTGGGAGGTGGGGAAATTGGTGGTGGTCGGCTGGGTGGGGTGGTGTGGGGTGTATGGCGGCAGTGTGAGTGGAATGGAGTGCATGAGCCCCCCCGCCCGCACACATGCAGGCGTACCACTGCACCCTCCCACGCACGTGCAGCACCCATATACCCCCCGTCCGCACCCAGTTGCTCATCCACCCCGTTTAACGTAACAGCTGCGTGGGTCTCCCCTCATCCTCCCCCTCGTGCCTCTGTCGTGCGTGTGCCCCCGTCCTCCTCCGTGTGCAGAGCTGCTGCTGCGTCACTTCCGAGCCGCCACGTGGACGGTGGTCATCCATGCCGTGCCCATCGCCCCCCACACTGCCCCCTCGCCCCTGCGCCCCTTCCTCGTCGTCGCCACCAACACTGCTCCACGCTCCCCCCCTTCTTCCTCCTCCCCCTCGCCCTCTTCGGCGCTGCTGCCGCTAGTGGTGACGACGTTTGCGCGGGTGGCGAGCAACGGCATCCACCCCGAGCAGCTGGCGGACATCTTCACGCTCGTGGACCGAGAGAACCACATGCGATCCGCGCCCTGCATGCCACCACTCCCTGCGCCCGCCGTGGATGCGAGCAGCAGCGCCCATGCACCTGCCTCGCCGCCGTCCCTGGCAGCGCTGGCAGCGTACAGTGCGGGCAGGCGCGTGCTGTGCCGCCTCACCCCGCATGTGGCAGGGGCCGCAGGAGCGGCGCAGGGAGAGGAGTGTGGGGAGGTCGTTGTGATGGCTCCACCACCGGATGATGGCGCTCCCTCCCCTGCCACGGATGCACATGGCGGTGGCGAAGGTGGTGGTGGTGGCAGTGCGTTCTCGGGTGTGGTGCTGGACGCCACGCCCACCATGCTCGATGGCGCCTCCCTGCCCTGTGCTGTCTTCCTCGTGCCCCAGGTGACTGCTGCTGCATGCCACATGCCACATGGTGCGGTGCGGAGGGGCTGATCGGGGCATGCATCATGATTGGCTGGGGAAACGGTGGCGGTGAGCCGCGTGGGCTGCTGTGGGTTGGATGGTGGCAGTGTGAGTGGAGTGGAGTGCATGCGCCCCACGTATGACCACGAGTCGGCCTGAGGGCCGGCCCGGTCCAGGCCAGCCTAAATAAAGGATGAGGCGAGAGTTGTCCGGGCTGGCTTTTCTGAAATGTTGACCCCTTACCCAGCCCGAGGCGCGGTCCAGTGGCCATGCAGCTGAGTCTTTGGCGGCAGCAATTTAAGCAAACAATGCTTCACCAGCGTTCGCGCGGCCCTCCTTGGGTGCGCACACCTTTGGCTGGGGCCGGCCCGACCCAGGCCCGCGTATGATTGCATGGCCGAGGGCCGGGTGCTTTGCCAGGCCCCGTGCGTGCTCCGTGCGTGCTCATGCCCACACACACACGCGGGCTGCGTACCACTCCACTTATGCACTATCAATAGCCCACACACACGGCACATGGCACATGGCACTTGGTGTACTTGCCACACTATCATCAACGGTACCATGTGTGTGCATGAATGCCCCCTCTCTTGTGTGTGCACCAGGGCATGAACCGCGATTGGCTTTATGCATCGGAGGAGGGGCAGTGGCAGCTGGTGGAGTCAGCCAATGCACAGCGCCTCATTCTGGTAACACCCACCCGCTCCTCCTCCTTCAATGCACGCTGGGCAGGCGGGCACTGTGTGTGCATGTGCTCGCAGCACTGCAATGCATCGGTTGTTTGCTGCTTCTCGTGTTTCACCCCCGTCCTCGTTTCCGTGCCGTGCCTGCTCTCATGTGCGATGGCAACAGGTGCAGCAGAACGAGCGGCCGGGGCAGTTGCCATTGACCATGGCGCAAGTGCAGGTCAGTCACTGCGCCCTTTTGGGACCCTCACTCCCTTTCAACACTTGTGCACGCTAGGAGGCAATTTCCGTCCCGCGTTCTGACCATGCCCGTGTTACGTGCTGCCTCGTGTGTTGACCGCGCGCTGTTGTGAGTGGTGGCAGGAGGAGCTGTCACCGCTGGTGCTGCAGCTGGCGCCAGAGTACTGCACCAACACCCGCTACGCTATCCCGTCAGTGCTGCTCCCCCCCCGCCTGCCCTCTGCCACCTTTTAAGCCTCCTTGCTGCGTGTGCCTATGGGCCGCGTTCCATACTTGCTGCACGCTTTCAATTGTGTGCCGTGCAGGGCAGCTGTTGCGCACATGCGTGTGTGCGCTCATCATGCATGGTGTGTGCTGCACGGCCCCCCTGTGTGCCACCAGGTACATCACCACGGAGACGGCTGCCGCCACCGGCACTGTGCGCGCTGAGGTGCGTGCCCACCTGCTGCTCTCTGCTCACTGCTCATCCTCATGTGCGCGCATGCCATGTCTATTGTCGCTCCGGCTGCCTGCCTACCATTCCATGTCGATGCATGTAACTTGGCGTTGGCGTGCAACGGCTTTTGAGCCATGAATCACACAATCGCTGACACGCAACCTACATAAGGGCTATCTATGACATTGTGTTGTTACACTTGCCATGGCACCCCTGTGCTGTGACGCACTGGGCGTGACCCCGGGGGCAGGTGGCATCGGTGACAACGGGCGCCATGGTGGTGCTGGACGACGTGCTCTCGCCCCCCCACTGCACACGCCGCCTTGTCTTCCGCCGCAACCCCAACCTCGTGCAGTCCGAGGCCCTGCTCGTCCCCGCCCCGCCCCCCGCCCCTGCTGCCCCGCAAGAGGAGCAGCGCGGCAGTGCAGGGGGCGGGGCGTCTGATGTAATAGCCAAGGAGGGAGGGAAGAAAGGTGGGGCGGGAGGAAAGCAGAAGCAAGGGAAGGCAGCAGCAGCAGCAGCAGATTCGGCAGCGGGTGCAAGTAAGAAGAGCAAGAAAGCAGCGGCAAAGGCAGCGCGGAAGCAGCAGGCGGCAGAGGAGGTGGGGAGGAGTGGCGGGGTGGAGTGGGTGGTGGATCACGGGCAGCTGGCCAGTGAGTACCACGGCGCCATGCTCGCAGGGCTCAGCCTCGTGGCGCCGCTCATGGAGGCCAGGGAGAGCACCAACGCCCAGGTCAGCACTCCACACCGCCACCGCCACTCCACCTGCTCTCGCCCTCTGCCCCATGAGCCCTCGATCTGCTCCACGCGCCTCACTCCTCTGCCCTCCAATTCGTGGCGGGAAAACCTCTTCAAGTGAATGCTCACCCCCCCCCAACAAACCTCATCCACCAATGTACTCGGCTTTCCTGCAAACTGCCTCCCCGTTTCTCCCCGTTTATCCATGCAGCTGACAGCAGCTGTGATAGGGCTGGGCGGAGGGGCGCTGCCCATGTTCCTGCGCCAGCACTTCCCCTTCACAAGTATCACCGTGCGTCTCACCTACTCGCACCACGCCTTACGCCCCACATGCCCATATTGGCCACGCCCCCCGGAAACACGTGTTGCTTGTTTGCACACCACCACGCCACCCCCGCACCCCATCGTTCGCCACAGGACACCCCTTATCCGCGAGAAGCCCCTTCATTCATGTTGCTCTCTCCTTGCCTCTTCCACTCCTCACTGCCGCATGCATAGCAACGGACTAACCCCGACTCTGCGCTGCCGCATGGGTGTGGGGTGGGTGAGGGGCCCCATGTGGGGGCTCGTGTGCATGGGCATGGGCGTGGGTGGCAGGTGGCGGAGCTGGATGGCGTCATGGGGCAAGTTGCAAGCGACCACTTCGGATTCACACAAGACGCCGTGCTGCGAGTGAGTGCTCCTTGCTCTTGCTGGAATCATGTTCAACACCCGCTGTGCTGCGAGTGGTGCTTTTGTTTTCCCGGGTGCTGCGCCAGCACTTCCCCTTCACACGAGTGGTGCTTTTGTTTTCCCGGTTTATCTGTTTCCTGGTGTGCTGCGAGTGGTGCTTTTGTTTTCCCGGTTCATCTGTTTCCCGGTGTGCTGCGAGTGGTGCTTTTGTTTTCCCGGTTTATCTGTTTCCCGGTGTGCTGCGAGTGGTGCTTTTGTTTTCCCGGTTTATCTGTTTCCCGGTGTGCTGCGAGTGGTGCTTTTGTTTTCCCGGTTTATCTGTTTCCCGGTGTGCTGCGAGTGGTGCTTTTGTTTTCCCGGTTGCTGTCTTGTAGCACCCGTTTCCGCCACCCGTTCACCCCCTCCCCCCGGAGCACGCTGCCGTGTGTGGCAGTTGCACATTGGGGACGGTGTGGCACTCGTGCACGCCATGGCTGCGCCCCACCACACCCAAGGGCCGCATGAAGGGGCACTGGGGGACCACACGGTAGCGGCAGTGCAGCGCGGCACAGCAGCTCTCGCCCTGTCAGGCGATGCTGAGAGCGGTGGAGGAGGGCGTGGGGGAGCAGGGGTGGATGTGATATTCGTGGATGCCGACTCCGATGACCCCAGGTCACCCCACCATGCTCCACTCTTCCCACACATCCTCCTCCCATCTTTCTTTGCTTCTACCCGTCTCCTTGGTCACCCCTTGTTGCCCACATTGCCTTGCTACTACCCCGTTGCTCCACTACTGCTCATGTGTGGCGAATCCTTCTCTAATGTGTACTGCGCATGCGCTGATTACTTTGCCTGTCTTACCTTCCTTCACATTGACCTGGATCCTCTCCTCTCCACACTGCTTCCCCCCCTCCTTTCCTCCCCCCTTGCAGCACGGGAATGAGCTGCCCGGCGCAGGTTTTCTTGGAGCCGCATTTTCTTCAGTCTGCCCGAGCTGCCCTGAATGAGGGCGGAATGCTTGTGCTGAACGTGGTCGCGCGGGCAAGCAGCAAGTACAAGGCGGCTGTAGCTGCCGTGCGACAGGTGGGTCTCTTGCACTCGCCCCACTCACCTCAGTCCCCGCACTCGCCTCACTCCCCCCTCTCGCCCCATTCATCCCACTCGCCTTACCCCACCCCCCCATCTCGCGTCACTCTCCCCCCCTCCCCCTTCCCTCTCCCACCCGCCCCATGCCCCCTGCTGGCAGGTGTTCACAGCGGTGTACGAGGTAGACGTGGATGGAGACATCAACCGCGTGGTCTTCGCCCTGCCTTCCACGCCGCCTGCTCTCGCCGCATGTGCAGACGAGACAGCAGCAGCGAGGGCCCACAAGCTTGGTGCAGTGCGTGTGGCGGCGCTGGCTGGGAGATTTGCTCCCTGGGGCAAAGGGCCCTCACTCGTGAAGTTGGCAGGCGGCCTCAAGCTGGCTGCATGACAAAATGAGCTGATCACTTGTGTTGTCGAATTTGGCCATATAGAATTCGTATCAACGGTCATCATTTCTGCTAATCAATCCAGTATGAATGGGGCCATACCGTATTCGCCCAGTTACTAGACGCGGGCAGGGCCTCAGAAGTCAGGATTTTTACCCTGATTTCCTGATGTTTTAGGGTGTTTTTTTTAAGTGACCCTGATCTTTCAGCCTTGTATTTTATACGACACTGAAATTTCAGTGTTTTCTTAATTCCAACAATATTTTTTCAGTGTTTTGCGATGTGGGACACTGCTGAATCAGCGTTGTCTCGAGAATAGCATGCAACGGAAGTGATCGATTAGCAAGCATGGGTGATACAAATACTATGCTAAAAGTGTTACACCCTCTACAGCATGCATCCCTGTAGCCTACAACAACAAGTTTGACACACCCCCATAGGCTAAGTGAGGGATGACACGAGAGAGCAAGAAACACAAGTGGTCACAAGACCAGTCAAGAGAAGCAACAACACCAAGCTCACGGTGGATCACAAAGTCACCACACAGTATGAGCACAAGGAATCGGCCAGGCCCTCATATTCACTTTTAGGGGCCCTGATGCATCAGGGTCCTTGTGTCAGATTACAATTGTATCTCTAGGCTACAGTAGGGTCACTTCTTAGTGAGTACAACACTTTAGGGTTAGGTTTCCTCTACTTGTACTCACCCCTTGCCTAGTTCAATCATTCATTCCTGCTTATTCTAACATGGTATTAGAGCAGAATCGTTCCTAGGGCCCACCGAACGTTCCGCCCTGCCCTAACCGTAAAATTTTCTTCCTACGCTGCCCCATGCAGCCGCGCTGCCCTTGCAGCCCGCGTGCTGCCCCTGCGACCGCGCTGCCCCTGCAGCCGTACTCGCCCCTGCGACCGTGCTGCCCCTGCAGCCGTGCCTGCCCCTGCGACCGTGCTGCCCCTGCAGCCGTGCCTGCCCCTGCGTTCGTGCTGCCCCTGCAGCCGTGCCTGCCCCTGTGGCCCGCGTGCTGCCCCTGCAGCCCGTGGGCGCTGCCTCTGCAGCCCGCGCACCGCCCTGCCGAGCCGCGCGTCGCCCCTGCAGCCCGTGGGAGCTGCCCCTGCAGCCCGCGCGCCGCCCTGCCGAGCCGCGCGTTGCCCCTGCAGCCCGTGGGCGCTGCCCCTGCAGCCCGTACGCCGCCCTGCAGAGCCGCGCGTCGCCCCTGCAGCCCGAGGGCGCTGCCCCTGCAGCCCGCGCGCCGCCCCGCTGAGCCGAGCGTTGCCCCTGCAGCCCGTGGGCGCTGCCCCTGCAGCCCGTACGCCGCCCTGCAGAGCCGCGCGTCGCCCCTGCAGCCCGTACGCCGCCCTGCGGAGCCGCACGTCGCCCCTGCAGCCCGTGGGTGCTGCCCCTGCAACCCGCGCGCCGCCCTGCCGAGCCGAGCGTCGCCCCTGCAGCCTGGGCGCCGCCCTGCCGAGCCGCGCGCCGCCCCTACAGCCCACGTGCCGCCCTGCCGAGCTGCGCGTCGCCCCTGCAGCCCGTAGGCGCTGCCCCTGCAGCCCGCGCGCCGCCCTGCCGAGCCGCGCGTCGCCCCTGCAGCCCGTGGGCCGCGCGCAACCCTAATTCCTGAAAAAAAAAAAAAAAAAAAAAAAAAAAAAAAAACTACTACTGCTGCTGCTACTCGTGCTACTGCTGCTGCTGGTGGAGGTGCTGCAGGGAGTGCAGGAGGTGCTGCTGGTACTGTAGGAGCTGGAGGTGCTGGACCTACTCCTGACCGTCACTATCTGTCATGGCCACTTCCGCGGCAGTTGCTGCGGTCAGGGGTAGACAGCAGCGGCCACTACTTCTCCCGGACAACCCCACCCCTGAGCAGCTTCGTGAGTGGGTTATTCAGCGAGGTCGTCCTGGTGGTGGAGGTTATCGTTTTGTTAAGACTGCTGCTCTTGGTGCTAGTGAGTCTGCTGCTACTCCAGGTGCTAGTGAGTCTGCTGCAGCTCTAGGTGCCCGTGAGTCTGCCGACGCTCTAGGTGCTAGTGCGTCTCCTACCACAGGTCTTGCCTCAGCTGAGGTCTTGCACACTTTCACGCTTGACTCAGGCGCGTCACGTTGCTTCTTTCCTGATTGCACCATAGTCACACCACTCACAGCACCTGTCCCAGTCTCACTGGCTGACCCCTCCGGGGGCCCAGTAGTTGCGAGAGCCTCCACGGTCCTCCCTTGTCCAGCAGTCCCCTCCGGCTCTCTGTCAGGTCTCCACCTCCCCACGTTCTCGACGAACTTGGTGAGCAACGCTGCCATTCAGGATGTCTGGGTTGATACATTTATTCCTGGAGGGCAGCGTGTGGCGATCTGTACGTGCTCCCGGACTGGCCGTCACCTGGCTACGTTCACTCGACAGCCTGGGTCTAGTCTGTACACACTGACCACTGCGTCTGCACAGGTGGCTGAGTCAGGTCAGGTGGCTGCGTCGAGTCGGGCGTCTGCGTCGAGGCAGTTAGCTGCGTCTTGCTCGTGCAGAGTACTCACGCACGAGACTCAGCGCTGGCACCACCGTCTTGGTCACCCCTCCCTGCAGCGTCTACGCAGTATGCACTCCCGTCCCCTTGTCTCTGGCCTCCCCAGGACCCTGCCCCCCCTCCCGCGCTCACTTGCGCCGCCGTGCCTTCCTTGCGTCGAGGGGCGGCAGCGCGCCGCTCCTCACTCCTCCGAGTTTCCTCCGACCACTGCTCCTCTGCAGACTCTCCACCTGGACGTGTGGGGCCCGGCCCCAGTCGGTGGGACGGACCTGGAGCGCTACTTCCTGCTGGTTGTTGACGACTACACACGCTACACCACAGTCTTCCCCTTGCGTCACAAGGCGGACGTCAGTGGTGTTTTGATCCGCTGGATCCGTGCTACTCGTCTCCAGCTGCACGAGCGCTTTCAGCAGGACTTCCCAGTCCTGCGTCTGCACTCTGACAGGGGTGGTGAGTTCTCCTCTGGCGACCTTGAGACGTTCTGCCAGGATGAGGGCATCGCCCAGTCGTTCACGCTTCCGGCCTCTCCGCAGCAAAATGGGATCTCTGAGCGTCACATTGGCCTGATCATGGAGGTTGCTCGTACCTCCATGATCCATGCGGCTGCTCCCCATTTCCTGTGGCCGTTTGCGGTCCGATACGCCACGCATCAGCTCAACCTCTGGCCCCGTGTCTCTGCTCCAGAGACCTCGCCCACACTCCGTTGGACGGGACAGCCTGGGGACGTCGTCGTTTCGGGTCTGGGGCGTGCTCTCCCTTGTTCGCGATACCAAAGCGAGCAAGCTCTCTCCTCGCACTCTCCGCTGTGTCTTCCTGGGCTTCCCCACCGACGCTCCACCCTGGCAGTTCTACCACCCTGCCTCGCGTCGTGTTCTGTCCTCTCAGGACGTCACCTTCGACGAGTCGGTCTGTTACTACCGACTTCACCCACACACGTCCCACCCGGTCCCCCTCGCGCCTCTCTTCCTGGTACCAGTCCCCCCCCCCCCCCCCCCGGTAGACCCCCTTCCCCCACAGGGTCCTGCTCCCTCAGGTGTGTCCCAGGTAGACCCACCCCCTTGGATGAGCCAGTTGAGATCTCTTCTGACTCCTCTGACTCAGCTGAGGGGGGTGACGCCGTCGCCGACGACACGGCGACCACTCACCACACTCCTCGCTTGGAGACCCCCCCGGGTTTCCCGCCTCGGCCGTCTTCGCCACCTCCGCAGCCTGCTGCTGTGGACTCTGGAGCTGAGGCTGCTGGAGCTGGGCCTGGGAGTGGTACGTCTGGGGGTGACTGCTCTCCTCATTTGGCTACCCCCCCCGGTTTCCCGCCTCTGCAGCCTCCTGCAGTGGACACTGGAGCTGAGACTGAGCGTACTGAGCCTGCGGGTGCTGGGACTGAGTGTACTGAGCCTGCGGGTGCTGGGACTGAGAGTACTGAGCCTGCGGGTGCTCTGAGGGCACTGAGCCTGCGGGTGCTGGGACTGAGGGTACTGAGCCTGAGGGTACTGAGCCTGGGGGTACTGAGACTTTGGGTGCTGACTCTGGGGGTGCTGATACTTCGGGTGCTGACTCTGGGGGTGCTGCGAGTCCTTCTGGAGGTCCTGGAGCTGGAGGTACTGGAGCTACTAGGCCTGGAGGTACTACTGGAGGTACTGGAGCTGCTGCTGGTGCTGGAGGTGCTGGAGCTGGGGGTACTAGAGGTGCTTCTGGTGCTGGAGGTGCTAGAGCTACCACTACTGGAGGTACTGGAGCTGGACAGCCACCGCAGCCTGCTCTACTTGAGACGCTCTCGCCGCAGGCGATTCGTGCGTGGGTCGTTCGGCGAGGCAGTCGTGGTGGTAGAAGGTACGGTCCGGCTGGTGCTGGAGCTACTAGTCCAGGAGGTGCTGCTGGTTCTGGAGGTGCTGGAGGTACTACTGGAGGTACTAGAGGTACTGCTGGTGCTGGGGGTGCTGCTGGTGCTGGGGGTACTGGAGCTGCTGCTGGTGCTGGAGGTGCTGGAGGTGCTGACCCTGGAGGTGCTGGTGCTGGAGGTACTGGAGGTGCTGGAGCTACTGGTCCCGGAGGTGCTCGTACTGGAGGTGCTGGAGCTGCCGGAGCAGGTGGTGCTGCTGGTGCTGGAGGTGCTGGAGGTGCTACTGGAGCTGCTGGCACGGGAGGTACTGGAGGTACTACTGGTGCTGGAGGCGCTGGAGCCGGAGCTGGAGGCACTGGAGGTGCTGGAGGTACTACTGGTGCTCGAGGTGCTGGCGCTGTCGGAGCTCGTGGTGCTGGAGGTGCTGGTGCTACTGGTGCTGGAGGTGTTGCTGGGGGTACTGGAGGAGCTGCTCGTGCTGGAGGTACGGGAGCTACTGGTGCTCTTCGCCACCTTCTCAGTCTTCCGCCAGGTGCTACTGGCTTCCCTGTGGCAGGTACTACTCCTCCGTTGCTGTGTCCGCCAGTGGACCAGTCACAGCCATCGCTGCTACCACACTCCCCACTGCCTGCTCCTGCTCCTTACACTGCGGTGTCA